AATACAAGGAAACTATTTCCCACAGGAAAAAGTAATGAAGAGAAATACAGTTGCTATTTCATCCTTTAGCTAGCAGAATAAAAAGTTTCAGATAAACAGACTTTTTCACATCCCCAAGGAAAGTAGAAGTCACAGATGCAAGCATGATGAGGATTGTACTTTACTTGTAAAAGCAAAAATATTCAGCTTGGTACCCTTCTGAGCAACAGGCTTATGCAGTCATATGCTAGAGCACATTAACATGCAGAAAGCATTGAAGAAAATATAAGCCCGTTTCCTCTGCTGACATATATACAAGTGTAAAAGGATGCCATGCACAATCTTCACAAGATACATGCCCTGGTTCTCAGAGCTTAGCCAAGAACACAGATCAAGCATAGCCTCAGAATGATAAGTGGTGGCAAAAGGTGAATATAATTTTATTCCTTACAAATGGGAACCAGTGATTTACAGTGTTATGTTTTGGATATGGAGCTAAGACACCTCCTATCAATCATTCAGAATAAAACTATCACTTTGGAGTGGCTGGAGACAGACAGACCTGCTGGAAACATTGGCAGTTTCCTACATGAGAAGTTAGAAATTTAGGAGCACTAAAAGCCCTGAGTACCTATAACAGAATGACTGGTAATGAAACCACCAGACAAACATTTGGCAGCCAGGGGTCAAAAGTTTTGCCCAGTGTAGCAGAGGAACTACACTGATCAGGTCCTCAGTTATTCATTAAAGTCCAGTTTTTAAAAATTCAAAAACTGCATGGTGTTTTATGTTTATTTACTTTTTATGTTTATTTACTTTCCAACGTGATGTTACAAAATTTTAAACAGTGAAGGGACAATGTGTGCCAAAATGACTTAGACTAGCTTCAAGTTTATAAGCTCATAAATATGTTCCAAAAAATGCATCAAATGAACCTAAATCACAACATTTTAGTACTTGAATTTTAACATAGTTTGAAAAATTTGCTGACTTCTTCACTTCCTACCTTCAATCCCTTAACTAGATCCTGTTTATAAGCATTATGTGATGCAAACAGAAGTGTAGAGCTGTGAAAAGCTGAGCTTTTTTTTACAAAATACAAGGCAAATATTATATACTTGAAGTATACAGAGGAGTCACAGCAAGAAAAGCTAGTCTGATGAGATGCTGAGCTGAGCTTGGGAAGGAAGTTGCACTGAGGGACATTCTTACTTAATGAAAAATTCAAGGTATTCCAAGACAGCTTGCCCCTCACTAAAGGAGAGATAAGTAATGACTTTATTGACAGCAATCCTACAAGCTCTGATTCCTCTAAAGCTGCTCCACTTCAAGACAGCTTTCAGGAGAGGAAAAAACAGGGCTTAGAAAGCATTTAAGTCATTGTCCTGTCTGGGACCCACAGCTCCACCAGCATCCATGGTAGCCAAGGATGAGGCTTACTTGGGAGTACACAGTAAGATGTAGCCACACCTTCCCTTCTGCCTCATAAAATGCAATAGGCTAGCCATAAATAGATACGCTTTACCCAAATGTGTGCACAGCTTTGAAGTGTAAACTACATTTCATTTTGGGGGTGGGGGTAAGAGGAGAATCAAATATGTTAGCTCACCAACTGTAAATTAAAACAAAAGAAAAAACCCATCATTTGCCCCCCACGCACCTTCCCCAGAACTGTGAGATTTAGTGCACCAAGATTTAACATCTCAGTTAGAAAAACGAGAAAGATACAGCAGAACATATGGCATGAAGAAGGTGTTAAACGGCAGAATTTGTAAATGGTTTGCAAGATGCTCCATAAATATTCCAACCCCAAACACAAGCTGTTTTGCAGCAGACTCTTGATGGAAGTTTATGCACACAATAAAATGATACTTTTCTTAGCTCACAAATGGCCTGTTCTGCTGACTTTGAATGGCGTGATACAGAGTTAATCCTCCTGCAGGAGGAGCTTAGAATCTGGCAGGTGCTGGCTTGGCCAGGCAATGTCATTGTCATTGTTTCTACTGGAAATAGTGGACAATACTCAGTGACAGCAGTGACCCTCATTGCATCTATCTGCCCTAAGGATAAGCTCAGGAAGAGCAAAATCAATGCATTTTACAACCTATATTTCTCCAGCATCCAGAGATGTACTGCCATCCATACAATTCTGGACCTATTTCAGCAGAAGCCATGATACATATTTTGAAATTAAGTCAATGAGAGACAGATGAAAATCAACCTCCAAGGCTTCTACTTAGGGCAGCAAATTATTTATGTGTAGCTACATTTAAGTTGATTACAGTTAACTGGAGTTTGCTACTAGGTATTTTAATAATATATTCACAAACACTTCAACAACAAGAAGACAGGAATGTATTTAAAACCTATCCAAGCTCTAAGTTTTTCCAGTTAGTTATTCCAAGTGCTGAATGCCACTGAGAAGATTAGTTGACATATGAAATACTGCAGAATGCTAACAAGAAAGGAAACTTAGAGTCCTTTGGGGCACACTGTAAATTTTCATGTGAGTTGCCACAAATGTACCTACTGCTCACACAAATGAAACATACACTTTCATCTATTGATCCAAACCAAACTCACTTTCTTTGAATGAAGTGAAAACACAAGTGTGTGGCTGAAAGCTTCAGAAACTGAAATCTCATCACAAAACCAGATATTTCAGTCAAGCCGGGACTGTGATTCAAGAGAACATTTCCTCACTGAGTTCCCTCGTTTGGATCTGCTTTTGGGTGGTACTCAACACACAGCTCATAAAATTCAGCACAGTAGGTAACATACCATTTTATTGTGAATGTTTTGTTTCACCTCCAAGGCATCTCTTAAATGCTAGTCTTTGAGGGACTCATTTGCTTTCATCTGCACAAGCCTCCAGCTGGTTGCCCTGCAGTAAAGCCACAACTTTCCTATTTCATGATTCTTACTTCAAATCCTTTTGTGCATTGGAGAGATGCTGGCAGGAAAAAAAGAGTTGGACGAAGGTGTCTTGACAAGGACTCAGACAACCAAGGCTGTGATGTGCCTCTGAACTGCTTCTCCTCAATGTCTCTCTCGCTAAACATGGATGCTTATTTCTAGGGAAAAATAAGGCAATACACTGGGATCATCTTTTTTAAGCTGCTGATATAACCTAAGTCTAAACTTTATTTTAAAAGAAAGGATGGCAATGCCTTTACAGACAACTATTCTGCTTTGAAGCAACGGGTCATATTTACTATTATTCACTTGTTATATTGCAAAGGTAGTTGGAAGCCCTAGAGAAAATAAACCATTTGTGGGGATTGGGAGGAAAATGAACTAATATAGATGGTAAAACACATAGTAAAATGAAGGAAGAGGGGAAATGGAGGGCAATTGTGGACAAAGATGCAGTCAAAACTATGTATGAAGCAGAGCAATGCAGAGTCCCAAGGCAGGTGCAGAGGAGAGCTGCTTTATTGCAAAAACCAGGCCTTTTTAAGCAGTTATCCCACTATCAGCTACATGGTATTAAATCATAACAAGCACAATCCAACTAAACACCATGCACCATGATGTGAGCATGTAATGGTTATATAACTTGTTCTTATACCTCCAATTCAGTTGCATCACTTTCCCAAACTCCTTTTCTGCTTAGCCTAAGTAGCAGGCCTGAGCCATGATTTTACAAGGGTAACAAGACATTTTATAAGGGTTTACCCATACACAACAAAAATGGCTTTCAAAATACCAGATGCTTATGCATAAATACTCATTCTGCAGAGTGCTGTCTCTGCCAACATACATAATTCCTTACAGGAACTGTGGTTGCTGCTGGACAAATCTAGAGCCTACCAGGTTCTCCTTGCACAATCAGAACCACCCATCTTGGAACAAGTTCAACCGGGAGGTTGCATCAGGGTTGTGGGCTGACGTGGAGGCACACTGTCCTGGATTTCAGACTCCAGTCCCTCTCTGTAGTAGCATCACAACACAAAATCTTTCCACAAGCCACCTGAGACCTGTCTTGAGACCGGGTGGATACTTTGCATCTGCCATTCCTATTGAAAGGCTGTTTAAGGACTTGCTACTCTGAGGGTTAGATAACTCCACTTTTAACCTTAATGCAATTACATGTGATTTAGACGTGCTTCTTCTCCTCCTCTCATGTAGTACTGTATTTACTTAGGGTAATCAATCTCCTCTCATCCTTCATTAGATTAGCCTAGTCAATACTTATAGATTTCCATTCCCCATATTATTCAGGTAGCTTCCACTTAGTTTATTTAATCTCAAGGTTTATTTAATCTTACCCAGCCATGCAGAGCACTGCACACAATATTCTAGATGAGGCCTCAGCTGAGTCTCACACAATTGAATAAATTTTTCCTCTCTGTTGACAGTATCTTGAAATTGCCCCTGCTTTCACCTTTTTCTCTGCTCCCTCATGCTTGTGCTACATAGTCATCCTGCGATTGAGGAGGTCTGTTTCTCCCTCATCATAGTGATTTGAACTCATCTGATGGCAATCCTGTTGACAGCTGAGGGTTTTGCTCTGAATCTAAATATGTCTAACCTTACACACTGCCCTGGACTGAATATTCATCTTCATCCTATTTCCTTTCTTGTCCTTAAGGTCGACCAGTTCTCAGAGTATAACACTCCAGTCCTGCATTTCATTGATGTCCCTTCCTTCTGCTGTGTCATCCCTGCAGTCTACGTGTTCCTTCCTCATTTTGTGCCAGGTTTATTGGTGAAAATACTAAACAGTATTGGTTTAGAAACCTATCTTAAAAAAAAAACTTCTAATAGCATCCTTCCAGCTCAAATGCTTTCCTTAATAAACTGTGTCATCTCCCCAGCAGAACAGATACTTTAGCAGTGTACAGTTCTTACAAAAATCCATGACTTCCTCACCCGAACACCTAATATTCTGTAATCTGTCAAATGCTCTACTATGGGTTAAGCAATACTTGCCAAATTTCCTTTGCCTAAAATTCAGGCATATTACTGGAAAAAAATCCAAAAACAAAACAACAAAAACATAAACATAGGTCATTATGCTGTGTTTGTCCTTTAATATATTTAGGTTGCATTTGATCCTGTTTTCTTTTGTCTGTATGTACTTTATTATTCTTCCCTTCCAAATACAAAGTACAAAGCCAATATATACAAATGCACTTAGTTAGACAGGTCTGCAACCTTTTGGATTGTTTTTTTCCTTTTCTGTCAATACCTAAATATTGACAATACTTTTGCTGTTCTCTGTTCATAGAAGCCCACTATGACATCACTCCATGGTAGATCCTTGTGCTGGACATCCATTTTTCATATGCCACTGCCTTATAAGGTGAAAAGTCTTTGTAATTTGGAGTGAACTGAGACCACAAAATTTGGTTTTCATATCTTAGTTGTGGACATTTCCATCCCCTTCTTACCATTAGCCATCTTCTCTATCATTCATTCTCTTTCCCCAAAATTCAACTGCAAAGAAAATGAAGAAAAATACTTAACACGGGAAATTATATCCTCTTTAATTCTATCCCCATCCGCATTTCACAGTTTCACATTTTCCATTTTTTTTTCTTGTTCTTTTTATTTGCATGGTTGAAAAATCTTTCACAATTTGCTTAAATTTCCTGTCTCAGCTTGACTTTTTGCAGTTATCATTTTACCCCTGCTCTTTCTGACCTCTCAAATGCAGCTTTAGCACTAGTTCTGACATATGTTCTCACTATGCTCTTACATATGGGTGATTTCTCTCTTCATCTAAATTCCTTCCTTAATAAACACTAAAACTGATTGAATTCTAAAACTGCAGAGAAGTCATGAATATTTTCATAAATAAAGCCACCACGTTCAGATCATTACTATTTATGAAATCGTGGTATTTGATACTGAGAAACATATGCTGATCAATAAATAAGAATGTCAGTCTTTCTTAAAAGATCAAGAAATACAAATATTTTGAATGAAAAATTATATAGACCTCTTTCTTCCCTGAAAATTGAAACTCTGTTTTCTAAAGTGTGGTTACAATACCCTAAAGTAAAAAAGTAAATAAATAAAAAAAACACCAACCCACAGCTGCATCTAATAAAGATTTTCAACCATGCATTGCACAATTTTAGAAAGCAAAGCTTCCAAATTTGAAGACAGGAAATTGAGCATATCTGAATTACTTACAAAATAGATAGTTGAATTAAACCTTTAAATGATAAAATGGGTGAGGAAAAAGCATAAATAAAATATATATATATATATATTAGTGGGCATGCTGAGTAGATGAGGCGAAGGATTAATATGGTAACCTATGACATTTTCTATTATGTTTTCTCCAGAAAGTGGCACAGTGTCAGGTCTATGAAGACCTACTTTTTCTCATTGTCACCATCTATGCTTCAAAAATAATCAGGGGAATGAACCCTGACCAACCTTATTCTTTTTTCCCTCTGCATGGCAGCTGTACCTTCGGGTTGCTCCCCAGTAAGTCAGTGCCAGTTGTTCCTGTGTGAGGTGGAGGCTCATGGTGTGCAGCTGCTGATGGATCAGAACCAAGGCTACAAATCACATATCTCTGCCTCAGACCTGCACCTTGACTTCTCACTGAGAGATGTGACTCAACAGTCAGATGGGAGATGGAAAATAGATGTTGGCAAGAGGTTGTGCTTATCATGAAACATGGTAAGAGTGAGTGGTGCAACAACAGCTTAGGGGATTAATTTGAAACAGAAGCTGCTCCCTTTAATGAGGGAATGATTTAGCATTAAACAAACAGTTGCCTTAGTAACTAATATATTGTCCTTCCCCTCCTTTCACTCTGAACATAACCATCTCTGAACTCAGTTTTTCATCACCTTTTTGGTTTGCTTAACTGGCCTTCTTCAACTCAGTGTCAGACAGCCAAATGTCTTGCAGTGAAATGTACATCTATTTCCTTTTCATGAACTGCCCTAAAAAGCAAAGCGTATTCCAGGATCTTCTCCTCAGTTTACCAGGCTTTGAGCACTAAAGAAAGACATTTTATATCTAAGCAGACAAGTCTGTTTCTGATAGAGACAGGAATACCAGGTGCCATGTATTCATCAGGCCTATATGTCTTCAGCAGTCTTTCTGAATATCTTAAGAAATGCGCCATCCAGGATGAATAAACTGTGTCATGTTTCGCTTGATGTTTACCTGTTCCTATGTAGAAGGTCAAATATAGTGCAAATAAGAGCCAAACAACTTTAAAGAGAAGGAAGAATGGACTCATGTACATGTTTGAAGTCTGTATCATCTATGTAATTTCTGTAGCAGAACTTGATGCAGAGTTGAGGAAAATAAAGGGATTATGTTCCTGCCTCTTAAGTCTTGACATAAATTTTAGATGGAGATTGAAGAATTATGTTTACTCAGAGTCAGAAGGGATTCCTGTATATCCAGTTTAGATGTAACCAGTGAGAATAAACTTGCAAGTATCTACAGAGTTAGTCCAGCCTCTTCCAGTGATGACATAATAAAGCAAAAAGTTATAAAGTAACCATTACATAAATAATGTATCTATTTACTGATAAGTTCCAGAAGAGAATAATTAGAATATCCATACTTTTCCAAAACTGTTCCATCTTCTGTAAGACGGATAGGATTTAGTTGTAATCTATATGTTTTCTCAGGTCTTGGAAAAACATAAAATATGGATACCATTGTTCTGAGCACCCAAAAATCTCAACACAGATTTTTTGCCCTGTCTTCCATGAAGCAAGCTAAGAACAGTTAAGTATTGAGCTTCTTTCTACATGGGAGGCCATCACCACTGATGATCATGGGACTCCAGCTTCAGATTCAGCCACACTAGAAATCCAGAACGGGCAGAACATTTCCTGGTATCCAGCCTGTGGTTCTCGCTCCCATTTCCCCTGCCAATGAGTCTATCTTTTTCTGAATGAAGTTTAAGCCTGAATTTGCCTGGAATTATGCACTGGGAAATCCCATGAGATCTGTATATTCTATCCCAATTATAAACTTGTGAATTTATACAGAAAGCAGGTGCACTTTTTCTTTGATCTATTAGGCTTTTCTGCAGCTTTGGCACATTGCTGCACCATTCCTAATACAAAGAGATACAGTGTGAAATCTCAAAACAAACCCTTCTATTTCAATGATTTTAACTGCTGTTACTGTAGTCAGTGAAATATGCCTGGTGACACGGAGCAAAAAGAGACAAAGCTGAAAGAAAAACTCACAATTTGAGAAAAGACATTTTCCCTGTCCCTAGATACAGGGGTTAGTCAATGCCTTGGGTTGGAGGAGAAGGAAGGCAGGGTCAGGTGTCTGAACCAGAAGTAGGGCACTGAAATTACAGTCCAATGATCTTTTCCATGTGGAAAATCCAGTGCTGTTAAATTGATGTTCTATGGACAGAAATGGATTCATTAGATTTTTCTGATGTTTCAGTAAGACTGTACTCATCAATCTTTAAAACCATTTATAACCCTAGGGATATACAGTCAAATTTATCATGTTCTGGCATAGAAGATGCCCATGTACAAGCTGCAACCTTGAAGAGGAGGAATTACTATTAAAAAATTGCTCCATCTAAAACTCCCAATATTTTTACTATTACCAGTGGTGATGGAAAAGCAGATCAAAAAGATCTGTGTCAGATACTGTAGAAGGAGCATGAGATTAAAAATTAGCCTGCATCTGATTTTCTTACCTTTTTTTTCCCCAATGTAGTCTCACTGTGTTTGATGTACTTTAATGTTAGACCCTTACTTGGGAAAAAAGAAGACAAACAGGAAATAAATCACACACTCTGATATGAGGCTAATATGACACTGAACACTACACTCATGCTGGAGAGGTTAAGACTCAATTATTTATGAAGAGAGCTTGTAAAAAGACTCCACTACTGAAAAATGCCTTTTTACTTCTTACATGAATTGAGATTAATTATAATGCCCAGCTGACAGAATATTAGAATGAGTGGAAAAAAAATAACAAATTAATTTCTTATGTGTTGAAGCTATTAGCTTAAAATAGTCTGTAATTGATTTTAGTCTGATGGTGAAAGCAGGGCTGCCATTTTTAAAATGGATTGTGTAAATTTGGCCAGGCAGTGTTAAGGTGTGACCAGACTCTGAGAGGTCAATCAAGGTAAATTTCTGTGCTAGACAGTTACTCAGCCATTTTGGACAGCTTCATGCATGGAATTCCATCCCTCAATTATCTAAAATCCATTAGAGGTAAAACTGTGATCATGAGAAACAAAATCAAAAGGGTTGCAGCCGGACATAAAATCAGTATGGGAAGACTGCTCCAATACTAGTAAATGAGCATGATAGCTTTCAATAATGTGTCTTGCAAAGAAGGGTATCTAACAGTTCCACACACCATGGAAATTAATTTTTCCTACGTGGCTGGTGGGTAAAGTTTCATATTATGAATCAGTGGCATTTTACCCATCTGTTTGTACTTAATGAGAACATGACATCTTGGATTTCATGTGAGCTCACTGAAATTAAGGGAATATAGCTTTGACTAAACCCACAGGATCAGGATTTTATGAAGAGGTTGTGAGGGGATTTCTTCATGAAGGATTTTGATATTTTGCTACCTCACTGCTTCCAGGACAGGAATGAAGATGAAGTATTTAAAAATTCTCAAAGGAAAATGTTCAATGACTAAAATATTCAGAGTAAATTAATTTCTATATTACTATTATTATTATTATTATTATTATTTAGAAGTAAAATACAAATTCCAGAGTCACTTCTGGGGAAAATCTAAACAGTGTCCTTATTATGAGAACACTGCATTACAGTGATGTGTACTGAACTCAACAAATTTATTCATTTCCATTAGATGTTGCATTTTTGATGGAACTGTGTCCCAGTGGGTTTTCTGAGCCAATCTCTGTTATTACATATTTGCAGAGAGACAACAAATGAAGACTGAGTAGTTTTTGAGTGCCGAAATGCCAGTTATTTTGACAGCTATGCAAGCTCTGGAAGAGATATTTGGAGCAGCTATTAATACATGATTAACAAATAACTAGAATTAACAGCTGAGATAATATGAATGCATATTCAGATGAATTTATTTTTACACATTCATAGGATGTGTTTGTGCAAGAAACAGAACAACAGCAAGTTAAAGGTTATTGATATAAACAGACTCTAAGCGAAGTACGAGACACTGCAGAGTAACCCTCCCCATCATGAGGAGGAGGAGGTTAAGAAGAAACAACTTTTATTCCCTGTCACTCATAGTGATTAAAGCTCTTTTCTCTAAAGCAGGCAATGCTGGCTGCCCTCACACAGACTCCTGGAATGAGAACAGCTGCTGTGAATAAGACAGGGTAAGATTTTTAGACCCTCAGGGAGGCATGTGCTAGGAAGCAGCAGCAGTAACAGGGTGTATAATATAAATGAAAAAGCTCTGGTAGGGTGGAGTTCTGCCAACAAGCAGGAGCAAGAAAGAGATTACTGGCAGTGTGGTGGGATAGGAACCCAGGCTACCAGTATAAATGGGAATGAGATATTAGAAGCCTGGAGAATTGGCTGGAGTTTCTCCAGACCTAACCCAGCATGCTTTACTGTCCTTACGCCTTTTGTAGGTGCTGGGGCAGTAAATATGCCAGCTGGAAAGGCAGAAAGGATTGGAGTCAAACACAGATATTGACTCAAAGGAGGTTTTACAGCCATTTTCTTGGATAGCTGTTGTTCAGCTACCTTCCTCTGTCATTTGAGAAAGCTTGCAGAGTCAGTCCCTGAGACAGCAAACTGCTTCTCCTTTGGTTGGTGTTGAAAAACAACCAGTACCATCCTCTGCCTGCAGTTTTGAAGACCAACAGTTGTACACTTTCATAGCTCTTTAAAAGGATGAGTCTTTCCAGTGTGCTGTTATTGGTTCTTTTAATACATCAAATAGAAGTGCAGCTCTCAGGGAACTCCTGTAAGGCTCACATACAAAATAATGTGAACTGTAACCTACTAATATAACCACCTCAACTCACTCATTCATCCAATTTCTGCTTTGAACAGTCTAAGGAGGTGATAAAGAAAAATAAGGCTTCACAAGACTTATCATTTAATCAATGCTCCGTCTCTTTATTTCATCTTATCTCTCTCTAATTTAAAAATGAAGCTCAGATGTTCTGTCTAAACACAACAAAAGGAGGTTAGAATTCCTAATTATCAGCAGTGATCCACAATCTAAAATAAGACCTGTAACTCTGATATGCACTGCAAGATGAATGCAGGCAACTGAACAATAAAATGGAAAGAGAGATAAAGAAGTATAAGGAGAAAAAAACCCAAAAAGCAGAAGTGCCAGCATAACTTTACATTCAGTTACAAGTCAGGATCATGTAAGAAGCAATTATTTTCACTGCACTCAAAGTCCTCATGTTGAAGATTACTTCAGTACAGGCTACAGAGTATTTAATAAAGAAAGGCTTGAAAGCCCAGAGGATATAAAAGCTTTTGTATGATTTGAAGAGACATGACAAACATGCTCATCAGGATTATTTTCACAAAACTAATTTTTTTAAGCATATATGATATGCCAAGTAAAAGCCTCTAATACGTTCCATATTTCTAAGAAAATCTGGCTGATGTTCATGTCCTCTGTATATTCATTAATCCAGTGCTTTAGGACAGGAGGAAAAGGATATTGGAGCCATCTTCAAAGCTACAAGTCTGTGTAGTTTTAATGGATGGTAGAGTTAGTGCTCAGACCTGCTCAAACATGATAAGCAGAACAACCAAAATAGTGAACATAGTCTATTGTATTCTCTATTGAGTGAAGAGAATTGACTGTTTTTACAATTTTTTAAATTAGGCTTCTTAAACATGTAAATCTGGACAAAAATAAATTTTATTACCAGCAACTATAGACATCACATCACGTACACCAACATTTAAACTCAAGTCCTTTGACTCTCAGCAAGGGTCTTTCAACAGCTTGAATTAAGCTCCAGTCTGTAACTCTACCCCACTCACACAGCCACAAGAGAGCAAACTGAAAGACACCACTCCAGATATAACAGAGCCCCTGAAGAGGGGCAGTCATGAATTCTGCCTCCTGGTATCAAACACAAGGCAAAAGCTAGAGGTCAGACATGATGGGCCAGGCTGGGGCACATCAGGAGAAACTTGGTGCCATTCAGGACAATTTAACTTCCCTGTGCCCTCAACTGGCTCCTCAGACATGAGTTCCTACTGTTTCCTTGAGAACTTGGGCTTGCTCTGCTCAGGTGGCCAGAGAAAGCGCTCCAGCCCTTCATGGGCCTGGCAAGAATTAAGGAGGCTTACAAATAACAGGTGTTTAAAACTATAACAGGCTGCCTAACACACCTGCCTGCTGTCATGTGGGACCAAACACACATATCCAGTCCTGAAAGTTATTGTTCCAACAGGAGAACCCTGAACACAGACATCCAGTGCGGGGACAGCCAACCTCCCTGTGCTCATTCCTGTCAGAAGCCTTATTCTGGCAGCTTTTCCTGTTGTAGGGCAAAATTAGTTTGCAGCTGGTTTGTGTGGATAAGCATTACTGAGGAACTAATTGTTATGATGCTTTTTTCATAACATTCAGCATATCCAAGAGAGATATTTTACAAAATGCTGAGGATGCATTTTATTGTGTTTCCAGCCTTTCCTCTGCTACCATCAGGGTTGGAAAGTGCTTGCATTTTCTAACAGCAAGAAGAATGAAATTTAGTGTATTTACAAGAGTGCCTGCTCACATGATTCCCTCTCCTGTATTTTGCCTTTTACAAGCAGTATATTACTTCAGGACAAGACAAGACAAAACCAAATTGGACAACATTTCTACTATATGCCAGCAGTATGTAAAACTAAAGCAAAGAACAGTCCTACTGTTTCAATAAGAAATTAATGAAGACCCACAGTTACTTTTGTGAAAACTACGCACCAGAAAAACAAACACCAGAGTTTTTTTCCTTCTTTAAAATAAGCTGAATATACTATATTTCCCTGACAATCCAACCAGCTCCATGGGCAGGAAAAAGTATCCTGTTCCACAGAAATTAGGCAGTGTTTCATATTGTGAGACATGAACAAGGTCTACACTGAATGTGAACCAGCTTCTATATGAAATCATTTCTGCTGATCTACTTACACTCAGCTTTGGATGATGAACTTGCTACTTAGCCCTATCTGAGGTGAGGGTGCTACCCTCACCTGTGCAAGCTAAAAGCCAGTCAAAGGCTGAGATAAAAACAGTCCTGTGGATTTTGAACTGAAACTTATACAACAGAGAGAGCAAAATGAGTCCTTTTATTTAGGCAGCCACTCCTTGCATGGTCAGGTAAAAACCTAGATGTGGTTTAACAACCTGTGTGTGTCTTTCCTGCCAGGAGCAGGAAACATGGTGAATACAAAAGGAAAACATGGAAAATGGCAGGTTCTGGAAAATCCTCCATCTGCCTTTTCAAATGGTTCCAGCTCCTCATTCATATTAAGCATAATTCTGAGCTGTGTTTCAACAGTATTGTTTAAACAAATTGCCTTAGGGAATAGATATCCACTTTTCCAACCTCTGTTTGACGGCCTGCAGAGAAAATAGTGCAATGCTACCTACAGTTCAGAAGATGCAATGCCATAAAGGAAATAATGCACAAAGCAGTTTAACTACATTCAGTGAATTTCAGTTTCTCGGCCCCCACAGAGGAATCTACATTAATCTGCAGCAGCAAAATGGCAAAGCACAGAATTCTATTTATCCAGGGGTGTTTGGCTGGAAGAAGGAGCTAAGTTTGATGAAGAACTCCTGAGCCTGGTTCTTTACAGAGTGCACACTACATGCCAGTCTCAACATACAACTAAAACTGTTTGAACTGGAAAATTCAGTCCATTTGCCCTCTGTACTGCAACCAGTGATGACTAATAATATCATTGAATGAAAAATGAGGTGCTGATGTAGTCACAGCTGGAAAACTGTGACCTATGATGAGCACAGACTGGTGGGTACTCAGGAGAAAGGGAAAAGATGGTTAGGGAAAAGAGATGGCACAATTGTCTTAGACTGGGAAAATTAAGTGGCACTTGGCTAGGCTAGGATGGAACAGGGGCAGGTTTACTGAAAGCCCTCACTTGAACTCTCCAGTGTAAAAAGCCTTTGCTGGGAGGGTGTCTCAGGGCAGCAATGCTCCAGAGGTAGTTCCAGTCAGAGTGTGTGGATCTTATTTCACAGAGACACCGATAGATTTACAAGCAACAACGTAAACTGATTTCTTCAGTAGTACTGTGAGAGAGAAAACATACCTAAGGAAAATGCTGAAGGTCTGAAACTTAATGATCTCCTTAAATTATCCAGGTCCAATTGATGAAATCTGCAAAAGCTCAGTCAAACATCTGAGACACTGTTGGCCTGTTGACTGAAATACTTACAGAAAAAATAAAATTCACTTACATGGATCTTTCCATGCCCATATGCAGATAGTATTTGAGTTACTTAAAAAAATTCATACTTCTGAAGAGGCTGCTATTTGCTGTTCTGCACAGAAGTGAAGGAGGCAGATGTCATCCAGTACAAGTGCTGTAGCCAAATACTAGAGTATTTAGGGTAAAAAGATGAACAAGTAACTGAGAGAAGTCTCAACTATCTTACGGTAATAAGTATGAAGCAGAAGAGATCAATCCTAAGGGAGGTAGAGAGGCTAATTTATGACAACAATTAGGTCTGAGAACAAATGCAATACACCTGAACTCCAAACAAGGACCAGCCTTACCCAAGATACCTTCAGGTAAGGTTTCACAGACCTGCGAAGGGATCCAAGAGGTGCCAAGCTTATTCTCCAGTCAGTCTCTAGAAGACCCAGCCTGGCTTTGACCCCATCATCAAAAAAACAGAACAAAACCACAGGTTCAGCCATTCTGGACATCCATCTGAGCATTACCCTGTTTCTGAGGTGTAGTAAAGCAACAGGGTTGGCCAGTTCTGGAATTTAATAATCTTTTTCTTTCAGCATCTAGTCACAAGCATAAATATCTAAGGCAATGCAGGAATAAACTTTTTCTTAACAAGGCAGTATTTATTCCTTCAGTACCATCATTAAAAACAAAGTACATAGCACACAGAGCACAAACTAGGCACAAAGAGTCACCAAAATAGAAGAAAATCATTGTGGGGAAGGGGCTTTACCCTGGGTTTTACACAATTTCTATCTGTCAGGTCCCATGTTCTGATGCTGGTGGTATGTCTGCTACACAAATCAATATATATACCATTCTGTAAGGGCCAGCTGTCATCATGGGGCAGGCCCACTGGGACAGCAGATATGCATGACAGGATTTGAGGCACTGTGCAGGAGACTGGCTACTACCCTCCCTTCAAAATCCAAGACAAAATGATTTTTCAAGGGTTACATGGTGGCAAGACAGCACTTGTGTTTAAGGACTGTCTCTCTGATCACCTTTGGGTTTCCCCCTCCTTTACATGGTGGCAAGACAGCACTTGTGTTTAAGGACTGTCTCTCTGATCACCTTTGGGTTTCCCCCTCCTTCAGTCTTTACCTTTACACATTTACAAGTTCTCTCACCTGATACTTTTCCAAGTGCAATAAATGAGGCTTCCTTGCATGTCTTTTTTGTGTGCCACTCAGTTCTGACTAGAATTGAGACTGAGAACTTCTGACTAGAAGATATCGTTTCCCCTCCTTTTCCCCAACTCAGTTAATATTGACTGACATCTGCAGAGCAGATAATCTTTATTTTTGAAGCGTGTATATATTATGCATAACTCATTCCACATAATTATACAGAGTGCTCTCATTTCTGGAAATGACTGCTCTTCGTGTTCTGTGTAGAAGTAATAAGATACATTACAACAGGTTTCACTGACTGCAGAAACAGCACCATATACAATGCACTGATAAACTTACAAGAAATGCTTCTCAAGTGATTCCTTATTTATTTGGGAAACAAGATATGCAGACAGGAGAGGCTTGTTTCAGCACAGTGCCCACTGATCTTGCTCCATTAAGAATGGAAGGTTTTGCACTGTCTAAATATCTCATCTCCTTTTTCCTGTATTTCTTAACCTGCCCCCTCCAATTGCCTGTCGGTCCCAGCTTTGACCATTCAGTCACCTAAATCTCTCAGTCTTATCTCATATACCTTTTTCCCTGTTCTCACCATAAAGGGAACAACCTCTACAATATGATCCATAAGAATATTCCCTAGTCTTCCTCCAGTAAAAAGCCTCCAGGAAGAAAAAAATCTTAGAAATTAGTCAGCTGGTAAGCTATTGTTTTGCTTTGATGTTTTTAAAAAATAAATAGCAGACTTAACATGAGCTGTGACTTATGTCCTCCACATGCAGGCTGCCTGCCAGAAGAAGGCTCAGCAGAAATGTGTGGAGGTCCTCTCCTTGTGATCTCAGGGGCATAGTGGGAGGCTCAGCACAGGAACACCCCTCTGGGCACAGGCACACAGGAGCTGGGTGGCTGCAGGCATGCTCATGCCATGCTGACGTGTCCCCAGGCTTCTCATGTTCCCATGAGCAGCTCACAGCTCACAGCCTCTGGCTGATTGCATGCCTGGCTCTCAGCTTGGACACCCTCTGCTAACAGCCTTGCCTTTCTCTTCCAGAGGAAAGCACTGGAATGCCTCAATCCCCCAACAGTAATGCTACTGCCCGGAGGGGACAGTGCTGACAGTCTGAAATTGTGACAGCTCCATTCCCTCTCACTGCTAAAATGCTTTTGATCCTGCAAGTATCTGGGGCTCTTACTGACAGTGCACTTGTATCACAATAACCCTGCCAGACATTTTGCAATGTCACAGGCAAGTCCAGAAGTATTACTAAGCAAATTCCACAAAACATGGAAATTCTTCCTTTCACCAAGTGCCAGGAGCTTTCTTCTGGCAGACCCTAGCTTTGCACCAGGTAACCCAAAGATTAGTTCACAGAGCCATCCAAATGATTTTTATCATCAATCTCTACTCAGATTTGGGACTACAACTGCTGTAAATCCCCAATCCTAACTCAACAGTTTGAGCATATTGTCACGCACTACTTCTGTTCTCTGGCACCCTTGAGCTGCAAATATGATGATATTATCTTTTTTCTAATGCCACCACCATCCCTAAATTGCTCATGACTCCTAATTCTTTACACATTCAGCCCAAATTTGATTTACAAACAAATCAAATACAAAAGTGCTTTGTTTTGAAAGCTGCATTTGTCCTGCAAACTGTAGTTTTTCAAGTGAGCACACTATAGAGTTCAGCCTCTGTAGAATCAAGTCATAATGCCTCAGCACAAAACACAGTTTCACTGCTGTTACAGCTTGATGCAATGCCTTATTCAGCCAAGCAATCACATGGAAAAGTTTGAAAAAGGCTTTGCTGAAGAAAACTCAGTTGCCATCCACTTCTTAATCAAACAAATTCACCAAACTGCAGTCAGATGCATCCTCAATCCTTCTGCTCTCCTCAGTAATTCCACAATTTTTTACCTATGACAATTCACCCTAACATACCCTTAACTGGAACTCAGAACAGACACCATAGAATGTCATAAGGGCAAGAATCCACAAGGTGATATAAATACCACGTTTCATAGACATTTTTACTTGAGCAAGACTTGGCCTCTCATCTCTCCATCAGTTTCTCTAGATATGAAATGCATAGCAGAGAACCTTCACACAGCATTCTGCAGAGGAGGCAGGAAAGTGTCAAAAGAAAGACCAACACATTTGTCTAGAACACCATTTAGGGAATGACATATTGATATATTTGGATAGCAACTAATATCACACTCCATATAACTTCATCCTTACTATTCCCAGGAAATAAACAGATTTTCTGCAATATTTATATGATATAAAATAAACCATTTTTCATGTAGCACTTGTGGATCTGATAGGAGAAGGGTTCTGAAGACAAAAATCTCCAAAAACTGACTTGTACCTGAAAGCACCAGTAGAAACTATGAGAGTTAGTGAACAAGCTTCTTGGTTAAACAAGACCTCCCTTTCAAAGTAACTTCTAAGTGTTGCTTTCTTCATTCTTACTATGCACAGATACCACAGATCCCTGAAAAGCAGCAGAAACAAATCAGAAATCTTTCAGGGTCTTTGTTCTTTTCTTTAGAAAGGTCTCACCCCAGCCAGCTGTGTCCTCATCCACAGAACAGCTCCTTTGCTCCCATTTCTCTCCAGAGACCCACATGGACTGAAGGCAAAGCACAGATCCTCCTGCTACCTTCTCCTCCCCCACCACAGAGAAAGCTAATCGACATTTTCAGCCTTGTTTCTCTTTCAGCTCCACTGCCTCACCAGAATGAATTGGCTATTAGCCCATGTCCCCTTAGCCACAGCTCTATCTAGTGAACCTGTTCTAGCTGAATGCTTCAGGCACCCATTTACTGTGAGACCTTGGGACATCCCTTCAGTCCAGACTCCAACTGCTACACCTTACCTCCGAGTCAGTAGCAGCTGAAATGTGCAGTTTGTAGCTCTAAACCATGAAGGGCATCAGCAGGAAGTGCAGTGCTAAATTGTAACTCTAAAAAATATGGTGTTCAATCACAGGCTTTGGGGCTAAATATCAGAGATTATGTCATTTTGGTCACCTCCTCTGAAGTGCTGCATCTCTGCTAGATGCTGTCAGAGAATGTGTCCACTCAAAGCAAGAAGGACTGGAAACTCATCACTTTTTCCATGGGAATCTCCACTCCTTTGGTGAGATGAGGGTTGGTTGGTGCAGAGGTTATGGTGCTGGCTGCCAGGGTGGTAGGAAACACCCTGAGAAACCCAGGGTAGGTCAGTGGCCTACACAGGTCTGATATCCCTGCCTCTAAACAGGGCAAGATGCCTGCCTCCCAGCTGGGACATTAATTTCAGCTGGGTTCATTCTCCTCAATTTACTAATCAAAAAGTGCAAGAAAGAGAAGCTTAGTTGTGGTCTATAAATATCCTGATCTTCACACTGGTGCTTGGAAAGAACAGGAATTTTCATTTTAAATAATTCACATGTATCCAATACCAGAGGGAAGGAATTAAATCATGTTCTGTGTTTAAACAATGATTAACACAACCACCAAAACCTACATGCAAATAAATTAAATGGATGAATGAAAATCAATACCCTAGAGAAATATACAAAACTTAAATAACTGATAGTTTCAGACCACAAGAGACCACTGAGGACCTTTCCCTAATGACCTCCTTCCCAGAGATGCTAATTCTGTTAATTTATTTTATAAAAAGAGAAAGAGAGAGAAGAAATCAAATCTAAATATAGCAGAACTCTTTGCTAGTCACATATATTTGGATATTTCCTGCAATAAGCAGCATCTCAAGTTTCTGTTTAAAAGGGTCAGGAATGCGTTGGCTGTACCTGAAACTTTCAGTGACTATGCTAGATTTAAAATATGTTGTTAATCCTTAAAGAGAACTCATGCAAAGTTAATTTTACTCTTGAATCATTATGTCTAAATTATTACTTAGTATTAAATATTTGAAATGAAAGATTTTCAAGGACTGTTGCAAGTTAGGAGGAATATTAGGGTGAATTCGCTTGAAACCCTGTTGGGAACAAATAATCTGCTTTCTGATTATTAATGAAGTATTCTTTTTTTTCTTTCTTTCTTTTTTTCTTTTCTGTCAGCAG